AAAATCCCCCAGGGAGGCAGCTGGTTGGAGATCCCATCTGGGTGGTTTTTTCTCCAGTGCGGGAACACAGTGGCTGAGCACCAGAGGATTTTTTTTTTTTTTTTGCATTTCATACTACGCAACAGACATTTTCTGCTCGATATTTTCCCATAACTGTCAGTGGAAATGGTAATAATTCTCCTTCTGTACATTAGGAAGCAAGGCATTGAAGTGCTTTATTACCTGCTTTATATCCTGTCCAAGTGGCTCTTTTCCCGCCCCCGAGATAAGCTGTGTCTATGGCTGTTTGTCTGATACCACGTGAGAGAGGAGAATGAAGAGGGCCCTGGAGACAGAAAGGGTTTCTGCTGTTTGGAAAAAGCAGAAGAGTGTTGCTGAAAAAAATGCACCTGTTCACAAATACATATTGACGGATGCGTGCAAATGCGACTGTAACTCCCACTCTAGCTGTTCATTTATACCTTCTGAGCTCCTGGGCAAAAATGCCACAAAAATCCATCAGTCTGGGCCTCCACACTGAGAAATCTCCTTATTACGTACTCTGGAGATGGGCCGTGTTTTTCCCCTTGAGCTTTCCAACCCAGGTGAGTTCTCTGCCTGTGTCTACAACCACAGAGCTTGTGAGCGCTAGCAGACTGGTGCAGGTCAGGGATGCGACGTGGGTGGGGGGGTGGGGTGCATAGGCAGTGTGCTCACCCCTTCTTGCACTCGCTGGTCACGGCCCTCTCCTGCAGAATCTAGGCCCTGCCTTTGGGTCTTTCAGGACACTGTCCAGTATCAGTTCAGCAGAATTAGCCAGTAAGTCAGTCCTGTTTGCCATCCTTGACCCGGACATTGGCAGCCTTCTCTGCCACCCACTCCACTCCCTGCGGGAGATGGGGTTAAGAACGTCGCAGCCATCCATCCATCGCAGGCGGTGGTCGGCTGTGTTAAATATTAGCCGATCGTGCCTGGACCAGTATGTTTTTAAAAGCACACACGTTTTAAGCCAAGTGGCCCATCAAAATTTTGTACCCACTTGTCAGTGTTATATCATTTATGCCACCAAACATAGGATCGTACATCCAAAAAAAATGATAGCACTTGTCAATTTACTTAATAACCGCAGACCAGCATGTGCAGGGTCCCACAGAAGTAACGCTTGCTTGAGTGTGGTTGGTAGGGTAATCATATGGGTGTAATAATTTATTGTTTTAATATGAACATTTTCCCTAAAATGTCCCATGGTGTGCTGCAGTGTGATAGTTATATTCCGGAATTACATGCTTACGATTTAGTGATTTAAAAGGAGGGGCGTTATTTGTGGCGGACCCTGTATCTGCACAAAGCCGTTCTTGAACCACACGGTTCAGACGCAGTAGGCATTTTGTCTGGCGGAGTCAATGGGAATTAATTTCTTACTCTACTTTGTCCTGCCCTCAGAATACAGTTTCAAACCATTGCTTCCTTCCAAAGTCAGGTTTCAGAACAAGATGGTAGAGAACCACCTTTCCTCCTCCCCTCCTCTAACTATAATGAAATACCTTGGAAATTTATTCGAAAGACAGTGGTGGAAGAACTCTGAAAGTTGCAGAGAAGATGGTGGGCTGACTAGGGACCGAGAACTTGAGGAACAACAATGTGGTGAGCTTCCTGGGTGGTTCTTGTTGTTTCTTCCGTCTTCTATTTACCCCGGCCTGGGCTCTGGAGTGGCCCGCAGCCAGAACCACCACCAGCCGTAGGCAGGAGAGAAAGAATGGCTTGCTTTCTTTGCTCAAGTACAGGGAAGGGGAAGCCCAACAGAGACCTGGTGGGGCACCCCCAACCCTAGCTCCACACCAGGGCATCGGGGGCCCAAGTCATCCGCAGTGGCAGTGAAGCCCTGGTCCCCACACAGTGGCGTGAGGAAACGCAGGTGCCTGCCCCTGTGCAGGAGATGACCCGGTGACACCATGCAGCCCAGGGGAGCACCTTCAGACCACAGAGGACATCAGCATGGATTGAGCGGGAGCAATGCCTCCCCCACAAAGTAGATGGGAGTCGCAGTGCAAAGGCGCAGAAAAACTGAGCTGTCGTCGGTGCTAAAACCCATAAAAGCAGCAAGAACCTATGTACTGCACCTCAACAGGATTCTTACCTGGGAAATGGTGGATGCAAATAGGATGAAGACATCCCTAATATAATAACCCAAATGTCCAGGATGCAAAAGAAAATCTCTCCCATCATACCCCAAACCAGGAAAACCCCAATCTAAATAAGACAATCATCTGATATCAATGCTGATATAATTCAGATGTTAGAATGTACCTGACAAAGATTTAAAAGCAGTGGTAATAAAAATGCTTCAACAATTATTCTTTTAATGAGTCCTCTCACTACGTAAATCAGATCAGTTCAGTTTCTGTTTCTTGACATGAAGAGTTTATACGGAGGGAGGCTGCAAAGGCAGGGTCACGGGGGCCATGTTTACGGAGTTTGCACGCCATGCTAAAAGTATGGCTCATTCTGGAAGGAATGGCAAGTGACAGAAGGTGCTAACTTAGAAAGCGATAGGGGCATATTTTTGCACTAATAATGCCAGTTGTTAGTCACAAGTTCCTGAACTACGGGCAGTAACACACACAGGCACTGAGAAGTAGGACTGGCAGCTTAAAAAAAAAAACATAGGGAAGGGGAAGGGATGAAGGAGAGGGAGTGAAGTCAAAGGTGACCGCCAAGTTTCTCACCTGGGTGTCTGGAAAATGCTGGTTCCTCACAATGCGATGGGCTGGGACCAGTTCGATGCTGAATTTATATTTGGGCATATTGATTTTTCTTTAAACTTTTTGTATTGAGATGACTGAAGACTTACATGTGTGTAAGAAGTCATACAGAGAGATCCCATGTAGCCCTTCCCTGGTTTCCCACGTGTGAAAACTAGCACAATGCCCAACCAGATTCTGACGTTGGTGCAGTCAGGATACAGCGCATCTTCATCACTGATAACTGGGTGTCATCAAAGTGAAATGCTTTGCTCTATGAAAGACCCCGTTAGGATGATGAAAAGACAAATCACAAGCTGAAAGTATTTTGCAAATAATATACTGAAAAAAGGGCTTGTATTTACAATATATAAAGAACGTTCGAAAATCAGTATTTTAAAAAAGAAGAATCCAATCAGAAAATAGGCAAAAGATACGCACAGACATTTGACCCAAGAGGGTAGGCAAGTGGCAAAGAAGCCCATGAAAGATGTTCAACTACACTGATTAGAGAAATGCAAGTTAAACCACACTAGCTGTCCCCGCACATGTGTTAGAATGGCTAAATGAGATGATGATACTATCAAATGCTAATGAGCACGTGGAAACACTGGATCAGTTACCCTTTGCTGGTGGGAATGCAAAATGGTGTAGTTACTCTGGAAAATAATTTTGTAGTTCCCTTTTAAATGAACTTAACATATAACCCTGCAACTGCACTCTTGGGCGTTTATCCCAGAGAAATCAAAAAACTTCTTTTCATGCAGACACCTGTGCACAAGTGTTTGTAGCAGTTTTATTCACAACAATCAAAAAACTCAAAACTACTCCATGCCCTTCAATGGGCACATGGTTAAGTCAACTTTGGTACTTCCATACCATGGAATAATAGCAATAAAAAGGAATGAACTGTTGGTACACACAGCCCATACGAACCTCAAGGAAATGACACAGAATGAAAAAAAGCTAGTCTCAAAAGAATGGACACACACTGCATGATCCCATCCATGTAACACTCGTGACGTAACATAATGACAGAGATGGAAAACAGATCTGTGATCGCCAGGCAGGACTGACGGATGGGAGGGAGAGGGTGGCTGTGGCTGAGAAGGGTGCAACAATAAAGTCTTTGGATAATGGTACAGGTAACGATCTTCAGTGTGGTTGCAGTTCCACAGAGCTACACACGTGGTCAAACTGCACAGAGCTAAGCCCTGGCTGGCGTAGCTCAGTGGATTGAGCGTGGGCTGCGAACCAAAGCATCGCAGGTTCGATTCCCAGTCAGGGCACATGCCTAGGGTTGCAGGCGACGGCCCCCAGCAACCACACATTGATGTTTCTCTCTCTCTCTCTTTCTCCCTCCCTTCCCTCTCTAAAAATAAGTAAATAAAATATTTTTTAAAAACTGCACAGAGCTATACACACAAAATGAGAGCGTGTGGAACTGGCGAGGTGTTGTACACGCTATATGGATTGCGCCGATGCTGGGGCCCCGGTCTGATTCTGTGCTCCAGTTACACCCGATGCTACTATCCCTGGGGGAAGCTGAGTGAAGGGTGCCCCCCCATGCCCAGCCCCATACATTTATGTGCAACTGTGAATCTGATTATTTTACAGTAAAAAGTTGATGTGTGATGAGAACATGTAAGATTGACTGTCTTTCAAAATAAGTCAGGCTGAGAACCAGCGCGGGCAGTCACAGAAGCTGCGCGGTGAAAGCGTTCTTCTCCAGGTCCGTGCATTCCCGGAGGACCCCATGGCATTTGTTCTGTGTCGTCCGAACCCAAATGTCATTATGCGCTCTCGTTTTCCGTTTCGACAGAGCTGAACTTGTGGCCACATCATTTCACTCCACCTTTTCTCTCCCCCAGCGTGGCGGTGATGGTGTATGTCTTAAAAAGTTCTCTCCCAGCCCTGGCTGGCGTAGCTCAGTGGATTGAGCGCGGGCTGCGAATCAAAGTGTCGCAGGTTCGATTCCCAGTCAGGGCACATGCCTGGGTTGCAGGCCACAGGCCCCAGCAACTGCAGATTGATGTTTCTCTCTCTCTCTCTCTATCTCCCTCCCTTCCCTCTCTCAAAAAATAAATAAGTAAAAATTTTTAAAAAGTGACAAAATGTTTCTTAAAAAAGTTCTCTCCCTCTCTTTTTCTCTCATTAAAACTTCATAGCCCCAGGTGAGAATGCTTGTTGCCTCTTCCCTTCTGCCTGCCCCATTCCGTCTCCATTTGGGGATGGGACTTAAAGGCGCCGGGCACCTGAAATGTAACCGACTCATTTCACGTTCCAAGCTTTATTGTCGCACCCCTAAGATTGAGCATCCGGCCATTGAGGAGTGCTTTGAGATTCTAAGCGGCTACGACATCCTAGGGCCTCCTCTTGTATCTTTTCCGTGGTGAGTAACCTTGGATTCAGCGAGAAGAGACGGAGAGAAATGGAGGACCATCAATTACACAGAACTATCCTTTGGAAACCCCGAGTATCCATTTATCCTTCTCCCCAGAGGGGGGAAACCAAACTCACTCATTACTAATAATGTTCAGTAATACAAAATGCCAACGCAACGGTACTCCTGAGTAGGGACAGAGGCCTGTAATGTAGCTTTGGCGCAGCAGGAAAGCCATGAGACCTCCTGTTTATATCTTTCTTGGAATCAATCCCTTCCCCTTAGACTCATGGAAAGCCTCAAAGCCGGTGACAAAAGACAGTCATTTCCTCCTTAATTGGAGAGAAATGACAGGCAGACCTCTAAGTTCTCTGAATGGATGACCAATAGATTTTATAGAAGAGCGAATTCCCCTCATAACTGGGCCCTTCACCCTCTATACAGTTCTCAGGGTTGGTATCCAGTGTGGCCACCGCGTTCTATAGTAAAGAGTAGCTGGGGTAAGACATACCTATTTATCTCGGGAGAGAAGGTACCTTGTTGTATTTCTGATGTAGCGTCTTGATTTCTTGAAGGAAAAAAAATGAAGGTTTATGTCAAAGCCAGGGTGCTGGTGCAAAGTTGAAGGTTTAAACTCTAAGCATGGCTAGGAAAGTCTTACCAGTCGAAGCCATGGTACGGAGGTTTTAAAATATTGCAAGTGCCCCCCCTTCTCAAAGGGTCATTCCTAAATAAGGCACATTAACCACGTTCTGGATCGTACACCCTGCTCTCTCTTGGCTTGGACATTCATCTGTTCTGGATGATTGAGGGGTGAGGGAAGATGGTGCTGGATGTTTTTCTGAACCCGATGCATAATGGCTTTGTTACCAAGGAGATGTCCTTAGCTCCTGGATGGTTTGCTTTGGGTGGTTTTCTTTGACTGATTATTGTATTTCTCATGATCTAGCCCTCAGCCACCTACGGGTCCCCCCCGAGACTGACCGTACGATAAACACAGACTAAGTCTATCCACGCGCAGGGGTATCCCAGGGTCCCCACGTGCCTGCCAGTCCACCTCGGACAACTTGCGGTCGTAGTGCGGTTTGCGGTCCCCCAGCCTCTTCAGAATGCCCTGGTTTTCCATGGTGATTCTCACTAGGTCCCGGTTCCTTGTTTCTCTGTTTAAGCTGGGGGGAAAAAAACCCCCATAAAACCCTGAGATGGTTAAAAAATAAAATTCTCCTCCTGGCTGGGCACAGGGGTGATGAAATCATGATGTCCTAGACCCAGGCTGCCGCACGCTGCCCCCGCCGAGCCCCGAGGCCCAGCCTGCCCCCCGAACCGGACTGCTCTCCGGGAAACGTGTGCGGCCTGGGCAGGTGTGGGTCAGCGGTTCTCAGTCCCACTGTCCACCAGAAGCTTCTGCTTCTCGGCTCTGGGGTGCAGCTTGCAAAAAGTGGCATTTTGTCGAAAGCCCTGTAGGCATTATGGGAATCGAGACTTGAGAATGTTTGATTTCTGGGATGAGGGAAGGCCTTGCCTGTGGATAAATCTCACCCGGCTGGGGGTGAGTGTTGCTTCCCCTCGCTTCCCTCAGCTTTCAGGTCAATTTCAGGTGTGCAAGGATGCAGGAAAGGCAACTTGACCCTTCCCCCCAACACATGCTTCTCTCTGCCTTGCACATACTTCTGTAGCCCTGGCCATATTGCATTTTTACATGAATGTCTCTCCTGTCAGACCTGGGTTCTTTGAGGTTAGGAAATATATATACATATATCTTATTTGGTCCCTGCGTTCCCGGCGCTGAGCACACAGGAGCTCAGGAAATCTTTGTGGAACCGATTCTTGTGAATGCTGTGTTCTAGTCTCAGCGGTGTCCACCGTTTTTACAAAAGCGTGCAGTGCTCTTCTGTGACAGAGTCTGAACGGGACTGTGAATCAGTCTCTGAGATGATATAAAAGCCCTTCAACGCTAGGGGAGTTCCCCATATTTGGTAGTTTTTATCCTCCTTAACACGGTCTCTCTGGTTATCCCTCAAGAGCACTGCCCTTCAGTATTCCTCCCACTCGGGAGAACCTTGCACTAAAGCTCAACAAGGGGAAAGTCATTTTTTGACTTTCCAAAAATGACACGAAGGGGAAAAACAAAAACCGAAACACTACCTCTTGGAAAAATACTCGTTCCAGCAATCCACCTGGGCAGGGCCGCGATGGGCGTTGGCGATTTTCTGGCACAGCTGCTTGTTTTCATGTTCGATTTTGTCGATTCGCTTTTGTTCACCCTGGTGAGAAAGCACCCCCCCAACCCCCGCTCCGTGGTGGCATCATGGTTACACCGTGCTCCGGCACACGTGGTTGAACACCCTTCTCTTCCGGGATTGTGGGAAAGGGCCCTTTAAAAAAGGGGCCGCAGTGGAGACAGGGGGCAGAGCTGAAGAAACTGGGGGTGATGTGTCTGGGGGGGGAGGAGAATGGGGGAATCTTTTGGTTAGGTGGCTCCTTAAGACACAGATAAAAACCCGTGAAGTGCATCTGCAGACAGCAAAAACTACCTGTAGTTTTCTCATCTGTAAAATGTGATGTGCGTGGGCCGCTGGAGGTTTGGTGTCCACGGTAGGTTTCACTGGGGAAGGATAAGAGAGAGCCAGTTTGTATCGCCGGTGTCCGCCCAGCAGCCTCAGACGACCTCACACACTAGACAGTAGCCCTGCTCGATAAACATTAGGATTTCGTATTCTGACCTTAGTTCAGGAATTTAAGTTCCCAGATGGATGTCTTGGAAGAATTTCGAGCAAGAAATAAAAGAACGGGAGGGGTTGGAAAAAAGTGAAATGTACAGAGACTGTCTGTCCGCCGAAGCCCGTGAAAGAGCCCCTCTCCCATCTTCTCCCACCAGGACCAGCTTGTCTACTGCGTGCTGACGGCCTAGCCTCTTTCTAGCTTACGTTGGCTTTAAAGAGTTTCAGCGAGCATTTCTACCAAATGAACTCCCTCGTGGAAGGCAAGTTCTGTCCCTGATGCTAATGTCCTCTTGACCCAGCTCAGCCAAGGCCACATTATCGAAGAGTTATGTGCTGGTCTAGTGTACTGTCAGCATCTCTAAGGGGGACCTTCCCTGAACCCCCGATGGCAGTGCCCCACCCAAACTGCCCACGTACCTATCTCTATCCTATTCTTGTGAGATATATAGTTGCCAAGGTCCAGTTTCTTCCTGAAGGTTGTGGTCTGCCTGTGATTGGAGACGATTACAGGATAGGCTAGGTAATCCAGGGAATTGTACATCCTCTCTTCCTAGTCCCACTTCAGAAATGAGGCAGCTAGGCTCCTCTGTGAGGTGCTTAGCTGCTCCCAGGATGGGTTGTCATAGTTACCCAGTTGTGACATCAGGGACAGGTCTCAGGCGAGGAGGAGCAGCGGCAGCAGAGCATGCCTGCTTGTCCTCCGGCTCCTCTTTGGAAAGCTAACCTAGACCCAAGTCAAGATGAAGGGCGAGGAACTCGGAAGCATTCTCACCGGCCTGGAATGCAGATGCCCGCAGCACCCGCCGCCGCCGGAAGAGGTGCGGTGTGTGGGGGCGGGGCGGGGGGTGGCGCTGGGTGGCAGAGAAAGCCGCACCTCGGGCTATAAGCTAAGTAGGCTCTCCTGCAATGGTTCCCCTAAAAGCGTGAGACTATAAGCTTTCCAGGAAGGCGAACGATGACCTGAATGATAATCGGATCCAATTTCTTCACTTTGCAAGTGAGGAAACCGGAAGCCCAGAGCAGCAAGCAAGCCGCTCAGGATCCAAGTCCGTGGCAGGGCTGGGCTCAGAATGCGGGTTTCCTGAATTCCCAGGACAACACTGGCTTTTTGGAGGGGTGGGTGATTCTGCCCTTTTGGTGACAGTGGGGGAGGGCAGAGACGGTGCCCTTTGTTCCTAAGATCTCAGTAAACGAAGAGCTGAGGGCAGTCCGCGGCTCGTAGCGGGCTGCCCGCTGTTCCGGAAGGTCTGCGAAGGAGGCGTTCATCTCCGCAGTAGCGCTGGGAGCAGCAGCACCTAGGTGCTCCGCCAGTCTGCTGATGGACAGGGAGGAGAACGCCGATTCAGTGCTCCCTAGTAATGCTGGGCTCTTTCTTTAAATGTCACATTTAATCTTCCAAACAGCCCGAGGAGTTAGGAACTCGTAGTAGTATCCCACACCATCCCCCTTTTTTCTTTTCCAACAAACAGGCTCCGAGAATTCCCCGGGGTCAGAAAGCCAAGGCTGGCTTGCCCAGAGCCCAAGCCTTGAAGCAGCAGGCTGACTCTCAATGAGTGTCGAAGGACATGGGCCCCAAGTCGGGCTTCTCAAACTTGAAAATGCCCGGGGGCTGTAAAATGCACGTCGTCATTCCCAGGGCCTGTGCTGGGGCAGAGATTCTTTTCGACACGTTCGGGATTCTTGCCAGTGCTGCTGGGCTGCAGCAGGGAGAGTCAGAACTCATAAGTGAGACTCCGGTGTCTCCGTAATCTGAAACAAAACAAAACAAAACAAAACAAAACAAAACTACATTCGGTGCTCCCCAGTCAATAGGAACACTTATTGTGCCCAGCATTCGATCCGATGAAGTTACTACACTTCCCCGTATACAGTGACACAGGAAATGTCTTGTCTAGGGCTGGGATAGGGTCCCCACCCCCGCTGCCAAACTGCAAGCTTGGTGGCATTTCCATCCCTGGGAACGGGCCCAGAGGTCTTTTGAACGCTCGTTCGCTCGGTGCCCGGAGGGTGCACGTACTTCCTGGGAGCAAAGTGCTTGCGGCCCTCCGCTCGGAGCGGAGCAGCGGAGCAAACCGTGGATCCGCCTCCGGGGCGGGGCGGGCCGGGGAGGGGCGGGGCCGGGCTCCGGAGCCCCCGCCCAGCTGACCGGACCGCTCTCCCCTCGCTGTCGGCTGCCCCGGCGTGCAGGGCCCGGCCGCCGCCATGTCTGGCCCCTACGAGCTCTCGGTGCAAGATCTCAACGATCTGCTCTCGGATGGCAGCGGCTGCTACAGCCTCCCGAGCCAGCCCTGCAACGAGGTCACCCCCAGGATCTACGTGGGCAACGCGTGAGTCGCCGCTCCAGAGCCGCGGCTCTGCTGGGCCCTCCCCGGGGCGTACCACTCCCTCGGGAGCTGGGGAGGGGGCGTCGGCATTTGCTGGTTGCGGGGAGCCGGGGGCGTGTTCGCCTCTCCCTGGCTGTAGTGGGGACTGGGCGGGGGCTGGGCGGGGGCTGGGCGGGGGCTGGGCCGGGGGCTGGGCCGGGGCCGGGCCGGGGCCGGGCCGGGGCTGGAGTCACCGCCCACCCCCGCGCGGGGGTCGGAGAGGCTGGTTCTCGCCGGGTCCCCGCAGGGTCCTTTCCTTCCGGGGGGTGCATTGAACCTTGGAGGCCGCTCGGCCAGACCCACGTCCACCCCGAAGCCGCCGCCAGCTAGGGACTCGGCCTTGGGCGGTGTCGGGGCTACCATGTTCACTAAACAGGTGGCCCTGTCGCCCTGCTAGTCCCCGGCCCGCGCATCATGTGACAGCTGCCTGGTTCTGCAGTGAGGTCACCGCGGAATGTCTGCCTTCGCTGCCATGGCAACTGGCTGACGTCACAGTTCGGGCGTGGAACTTTTCTCGGCTGGACAAGTTCGGATCTGGGGAATTGAAATACCCCAAATGAGGGGGACATCCAGAGAGCTGGGACACGGTTTCCTCGCTCCTTCCCCTGCCTTCCAGATGGGGTTCGATTTACATGGATTCTGGAATGATCCCATGATAAACCCCATAAGGGCCTGACCCATCACTTAGAAAAGGCTCCCACCTTCTCGGGACCAGGAAATGCATTATTTATCACTTGTGAATTCTTCACCATTGGTTTTCCCACTTTCTGTCAGTCAAATTGCTGTAGGAAGAAATTCTCAGCAGCAGGAGAACCAGTTAACTGTGCTGAGAGGTGCTGAAATAGCAGCCGTAGGTACGGAACAGGTTACCAACCCTGCACGGCCTTAGGAGGGCTCTTTGGACTTGGATAAAAGCCAGGAGGACCCTGTTACAGTGCCCTCAGACCAGGGCCCAGGGACCGCACGTTAGAAAGCTGGAACTACTCCCCTTGTTTTACGCAGAAAGAGACAGTGGCGACCAAGCAAGTGGTTGAGAGATGGTGAGGACAGGTCAGTGCCTTGCCCTGTCTGTGTCCCCTGGTCCTGGACTAGGACCTGATGCTTACTCTGCCACAGACTGCCACAGAAACGGGGGTCATCTAGGAGCCAGAAGGGGTCCAAAAGGCAGGCCCCAGCCTCATAGGGGACTGTCTCGTCCATGCCATCATTCATTCGCCATATTGAGTGCCTGCGTATCAGGCAGTGCGCAGTGTTCACTCGGAGGAAGATGATCATGGTGGATCAATTGCATGTTGAATTAGCATTAGGGAAGGCGGAGAGGAATGGTGGCGACTCTTCAGTTATTTTATTCATTTATATTTTTTCTTAAAGGAGCCGGTGCTTTACCGTTGCATGCAGTGTCGTGAGTAGGGATAGATCAAGTAGAGTCCCAGGGTCCCAGCCGAAGGCCTTAGTAACTGCGAAGTTCTGAGGGCAGCCTCCTCTCCAGCCACCCAAGCAGCGAGCGCCCTTGGAGCCCTTTGCAAACCCCGATCCCTTGGGCAGTTGGGCACGTTCAGCTGCCACCCTTTCCCAAGTGGAAACTGAGATTGTGAACCTCTGCTGGAAGCCAGAGAGGCAAGTGCTGACGGCCGCTGTAGAAAAGACATTCTTGCCCTCTGAGCAAATTTGACCTTGACTTAGCCAGGCATGTGTGGAGGGCCCAGCAGGGATGATTGCCCGAGTACCTGGTGCTCCCCGACCTGTCAGGAGCCCCTGAAAGAAATCGGGGCTCCTGATCAGGGCTCACGGAGGGGCGGAGAGGAGACTGGATGAGCCACATTTTCTGGGTCTTGGTATTTGCAGTGATGTGGGCGTGAGAGGCAGAGTAGGGGGGAGACGGAGGAGCCGTGTGGTTGGTGTCGGGGGAAAGGAGGCCTCCTCTCACCCAGCTCTGCCTCTCAGCAGCCCACGTGAGTGCATGCACACCCTTCCGCCGTCCTGTCAGGCCAGAGTTTAAGCTCTGTCCTTCCTCCCAGGCCTGACAGACACTGTGACAGGCGAACGAGATCACGTAGGACCAGGCGTTGGGTAACGCAGAAGCGGCTGTTTGAACTGGGGTGTTGTTGAGAGAGGGAATAAAGGAGCCCTTTGACCATTCAGAGCGAATGTTTTGTAACCCCCATCGTCCTGCTGGGGCCGGCGCTCCCGAGTGTTTACTCACCCAGGAGAGCGTCAGCGGCGTGCCCAGTGGACGGTGGGTGGCAGGCAGGCTCCCTCCGGGGGGTGGGAGGGCACAGCCGCACATAATAGTCCAAGGAAGGAGGCTGCCCGGGGCATGCCGGTCTCATTCTTCTTCACTGACTTACCGAGTGTTCATTCAGCGCCTGCTCTGTGCCAGGCACCACACCCGGCGTTGGGCTAGTGGACTGGAGGCAGATGGGGTTCCTCCATCCCAGAGCTCGGAGCCCGGACGTGAAACGAATGAACACAAGGGTTAGAATAAATAGTAGCACCGACTCAGTGTGTGGCTCTGTCTGTCGAATAGCCCTTTTAACACTGACAAAGCCCAGGGGTTAGGCACAGTGTTTGTCCCCGTTTGACAGACAGGGAAACCAAGTCACAGAAAGGTTAAATGACTTCCTCAACGTTGCCGGGTAAGAGGCAGGGCTGGGTCCGGCCCGGCTCCAGAGCACATCCTGTGCACTGCCACCACGGTGCAGGGAGCATGCTGCCAAGTGCAATGGAGAAAATCAGCAAACGCTGCAAAGGGTGTGAAAAACGAGAGGGTGCACGGCCATGGCCAAGGGCACTCTAGGCAGAGGCACGAACCCGCCCCGTCTATTTGGGGCAGCTGCTGGCAGCTGCTGATATAGCTGGAGCGGGAAACGGGCCATCGGATGCGGAGAAGCTCTGGCCCGGGCCAGAGCTTGGAGGGCTTCTCACTCTGCCAAGAGGCTTGGAATCTTCTCCATCTTCCTCCCGCTGGGGCTGCCCGTTGGTCAGTTCAGCACCTCCTGCCGCTGTCCCCTGTCCAGGTCTGTGGCTCAAGACATCCCCAAGCTGCAGAAACTGGGCATCACCCACGTCCTGAACGCCGCCGAGGGCCGGTCCTTCATGCACGTCAACACCAACGCCAGCTTCTACAAGGACTCCGGCATCACCTACCTGGGCATCAAGGCCAATGACACGCAAGAGTTCAACCTTAGCGCCTACTTCGAAAGGGCCGCGGACTTCATCGACCAGGCCTTGGCTCAAAAGAATGGTAAGGGACCCGCCGTCCAGGAAACCACGGGAGGGGGTTGTGACTGGGCTTTCTCTTGGATGGCCCGCTGTTCCCTGTCTCCTGCGGCAAGCGGCTGAGAGCTTCACGTCTCGCTCTCACTGCCCGTCCAGCATCACACGAGAGGCACAAACCTGGCACACAGCGGCAGCCTTGGGGGTTTTTGTGTCTGATGTGACTTTGACGGACAGTTCATTTCCAGCCCCCCCACCCCCCGCCAGCTGGAAGAGCTTCAGGAGTGAACATTTATTTAAGGAGCCCTGACATGACGGAGCTCCGGGCTGGATGACGAAACAGCTCAGTGGTGGCCTCAGAGCAGGTGCTCTCCCCCTGTCCCTTCTGCCACCCTCAGGGCTGGGCAGGCCCCCGAGGGGCCCGAGATGGCTGCAGCATTGTGGTTACCGCCTCCCGAGTATCGCCTCCCAATAGGACATAATGTACAAGATGCAGCAGCCGTCTCTTCCTTGTGTTTCTCTCATTTTTTTAAGTGCAAGTGAAACACCCCCCGCAAAGCCCCCAGGGGCATTTCCCTCACGTCTCTCTGGCTGGAGTTGGGTGATTTGAGTGCCTGGCAGGGGACCAGACGGCTGCGGTTGGTTCAGGCTGGGGGTTGGCAAACCACGGCCCACTATGGCTAAGTCTCCTGGTCAGGTGTGACATGCCTCCGCTGCTCCCAAGCATAAGGTGAGGCTACAGCAGACCTGCTGAGGTGCTGGCAGCGGGACAGGGCGATCTGGAGAGATATCCTAGAAGGCCACAGGGCAGACGTCGCCACGCAGGCTGGGCCGCCTGCCCTTTCTGCTTCCAGCGGATTTCTCTCGGCAGCTGGCTTGATGTCCATGCTGCCTCCAGCCTCTCCCTTCCTCCCCACCCTGAACCTTCCCCGGGGAAGTGACCTCCATCGAGGAGGTGTGATTGGCCTGGTCCCCCCGACACCAGCCTGTCTTGGTCACGTGGGTGCTGCTCGTGCCGGCATCCTCTCCACTGAGATGATTCCCAGGGCGCAGGGTTTATTAGACCCTGGATGACTCACGTTCAGGGCCCAGGGGGGAGGTTTCATTGCCCGGGGAATCTGCGCACTTGACTGTCAGCCCTTCTGTGGTCCTTCATGGCCTCCTGCGTGTCACCGCCCTGCACGCCGGCTGTTCCCAGCTCCTCCGTGGATGAGAACGAGGGTCCCAGTAACGGGGTGGATGCTGCCCTCGTATATTGGCCGGCCATCACTCAGGACACTTGGAGCTCTCTGGCTTGGTTTCCTCTTCCTGTACAACTAGGAACACACCCTGACATTTTGTGACCCCCTGCCTTAGCCTCTGTGGGCTAGGTCCTCGGTCTGGAAAGGTCCTCCTGCCTCTCCCGAGCTGTCCCCTGGCAGACCCCGGTGTGAGCTTTAGCTTTGGGCCCATTGTCCTCATGTCCTGTCTTCCGGGAAGCTTGCCCTCAGGCTGAGTCCTCTGTGTCTCGTCTGTCCCCCCAGCACCTGATGTAGCCTTGGGCACATAGCAGGGACCCTTTAGGGGATTACCAAATGAGTGACAAAAATGAATTCTGTGGGCTCTCATGCCAAATATAAGTAGTTTTAAAATTGATCAGCAAAGTTGATCAGCAGTAATTCACTGGCCTCCCACAGTGTGCAGGGCTCAGGGGAGCCAGGGGCCCGTCACTTTGGAGAGCAGGGGCGCTCAGGAGGGAGCAGTCCCTTCCAGTCCTGGTGATCAAGGGAGGCTTCCCAGAAGAGGTGGCATTCGTGTGGGGCCTGGAAGATGGGCTTTGAACCCTTCCCTTCCCCACTGGCTGTGTGAGCCCTGGGTTTGCTGAGTGTGGTGCAGGGGGTGAGGTAGCTCCTCTGCAGAGGGTCCCGTGGCCGGGGCAGGGGCAGGGGCAAGGAAGGCCTCACTGAGTAAGGGTACACTGAGCACAAACTGAATGGGCCAGAGAGTGGAGGACTCCCCTTCCTGCTTTGGGAGGCAGCGGGAACACAGAGCTGTGCTTTGGGGGTAGAACGATGGGAGCAGAGGAGGGAGAGGCGGGGAGGACATCCGGTGGGGGCCAGGTGCTGCAGAGCCTCGTGGCCCATTTGCGGAGCCACGACAAGGTGCTTTTGTTTGTGTGTTTGATTTTTTTTTATCTTGGTTTGTTTTTGTATTTGACATGTGTGTTCCTTTTATTTTTTAACTGCTTTGTTGATATATAACTGACATGTAATAAACCACACATAGTACAATCTGCCAAGTTTCGACACCTGTATATACTTGTGAAATCATGGCCATAACTAAGCTAGTGAGCGTCTCCATCACCCCTCCAGATTTTCCTCTGTCCCTCCGTGACCTCTCCCTGCCGCCCTCCCTGCCTTCCGTTCCTGAGCCCTGCCCCCGATCTGCTCTCTGTCACCAGACACCCGTGCGTCGGCAGAGCTTTATAGACTTGGAATCGCACAGTGTGCTCGCATTTTTGGTCTGGCCTTCTTCACTCGGCACAGCTCCTTTGCATGTCATCCACGTTGTTGCAAGTGTCAGTAATTCAACCTTTTTAACGCCGAATAGTATTTAGTCATCTGGATGTACCACCGTTTATGTATCCATTCACCCGTTGATAGGCATTTGGGTTGTTTCCATGTTTTGCTTTGGGTTGAAACGCAAGATTCATTCAGAGAATGAATGGGCATATCACAAGAGTTTAGGTCAGTGCACCGCACACACCTGTGGACTGGCTCCTCAGATTGAGAAATAAGACATGACCAGCACCCCAGAGAGCCCAGCCTCAGATCCCTCTGCCCCCAACTCTCCATCCCTCTCCACGCTCCTGATATCACAGACGCAGTGCGCCTGCGCTCCTGCTCTGTGGGATCCTGTACTTCCTACCGGGGCATTTCATGCATGTGGCTGCCGATGCTTGGTGGAGTGTGCATTCTGGTCATGTACCTGTTCTGCCGTCGAGGGGCCTCCGGAGCCTCCACACTGGGGCTGTTAGGAATGGTGCTGCTCAGGGGACATCCTGATGCGTGTCTTTCAGAGAGCGTGGGTGCGCATTCCTGCCGGGCGTGGGTCTGGGATGGCGTGGCTGGGCCACAGGGGATGCGTGGGGTTAGCCTCAGGAGATGCCGCTTCCCCGTTACCCGAAGGGGCGTGCGGACTCTTGGCCCCTCCCCAGCCACGTGTCCGAGTCCTGGCTGCTCCACCCACTCGCCTGAGCTCCGCATTTCCCGCCCTTCTCATTCTAGCCAATCTGGTGGGCACAGGATGGCCTTGCGTTTCACGCCTTGTTTGCATTTGCCGGGAGGGTTTTGACTCGAGTCACACTGCGACTGGAGGCACCAGCTCACCGTGTCACCCCGTTTCTTCCAGGCCGCGTGCTTGTCCACTGCCGTGAGGGCTACAGCCGCTCCCCAACCCTGGTTATTGCGTACCTCATGATGCGGCAGAAGATGGACGTCAAGTCTGCCCTGAGCATCGTGAGGCAGAACCGTGAGATCGGCCCCAACGACGGCTTCCTGGCCCAGCTCTGCCAGCTCAACGACAGACTAGTCAAGGAGGGCAAGTTGAAACTCTAGGGTCCCCCCACCGCCTCCTCTCTAGAGGCTGCACAGGGGAGGCCCTGGCTGAGGCGTCCCTAACTGCCACGTTTAGGAAACACGATGTACCCTGCTCCCAGCACCGCCAGGCACTCGCCCACAGATCTGCCCCAACACAGCCCTGGGCCTCCTCACCCCCCGGGGAGCATATAAAGAAGCTTGCTACGGAGGACGTTTTTGCTCCCTGGTGCGTCCGGTGCCTGCAGGTTGTGACACCCCGCCCCGCTGGGGTGGGGCCGCAGAGGGGGAGACGTGTAAGGCACCTGCTTCTGGATGACCCGGGGCAGCAGGTCCGTGGAAGCAGAAGGCCTGAGACGCTCACAGGGGGCCCTCCTGACTGCACCCCCCCCCACCCCCACTCCTGATCCCCAGGTCCTCTCCTGAGTGGGGACCGCAGCACCTGAAGCCTTGTAAAGGAACTATGCAAACTCGGGCCCCTCTCCCCCGCCGTGTCTGTCTCCCCCGGCTCCTCACAGCCGCCCACACCCTGCTCGTAGGCAGAGACGCTCCGGGGTCTGCGGCCGGCGTGGGGTAGCCGTCCATTGTTCGTGGGTGGAAATGCCCGCAGAGAGACCACATGTTAATTATTTCCTTAGGATTAAAGATACCTGAACAACAAGGCCCTCAGGTGGGCACACAGACTCCCCCCGGGGGTCTCCCCTGAACCAGGAGTTTCTAAAATGCGAGGCCTTGGAAGGCTCGCGTTCCAAATCCACGGGAACGTGTCCCGGGACCGCTCTGGTCACTCGGTTGGTCCGAGGAGCGCTGCCTTGGGCACGGCGTGTGTGTCCTTTTTAGAAAACAGGGTGTTGAAGTCCAGCCTATTTAAAGCCCCGCCATTTGGAGAATTACAAGGGTTTCGTCCTGAATTATAGTGTTGGCGAGCCCAGGCTGCTCGTGCCAGCTGCTTTTTGTCTCCGTTGCTATTCTCAGACCAGGAGGAGGAAGTTGGCCAATTACAGCGTGTATGTGGGGGTGTGTGTGGGGTGAGGGGGGGCGGTGTCTCAGAAACACAGCCAGGGGGCCGGGGAGCAGGGAGATGAGTGGTCCCAGGCTCACAGCCCACCCACCTACAGGCCTTTCTGACAGCTCTCTGGTGCCGGAAAGGACCCTGGACCCCCGGGGGAGCAGAAATGACTCAGTGGGGCCGAAATGAAATGCGACGGTGCGTCCAAACGGAGCCGTTATTGGTGGTAGAGCCAACAAGCAAACAAACAGAAAGAAAGGACTTTTTTAGGAGAACGTTGGAACGCGCTTGCTCGCACATGGGCGCGCACGTTTGTCAGAATGTAGACTTTTATTCTCGACACAGTCTTGTTAGGGCTTTGCATGATTTGTTGTCATGGAAAGTGATACAATTCTGTCATCTTCAGGTTCCCTCATGGCACAGGGGTGGTCCTCTGCCGTGCCCCCAATGCCTAGCATATAGGCGTCTGATAAAAGTTTGTGAAATTAAGCTTTTTTTTTTTGAGCACCAAATATATGTAGGGCGTTGTTCTGGTGGGTATATCAAGCTCCCAGAATCCCCGAGTTTGTGGTAGGATCACTTGCAAGGGCTTCTAAAGGAGTCTTACCTGAAAATGAAATATCAGGGACTTTTGTTGAATATTTAAAGTTGTTTTAAATTTAAATTCAGCCAGGATGAACACGTGGAAGTGCGGAATGTGCCTTTTTCGGCTGAGCAGGAGCTGTGGGCCGGGACCGGGAGAAGCAGGCGAGCCTCTGGGCTCACGCGCAGGCGTGACAGTGTCTCGGTGGGGGCAGCGCCATGCGGCCCGATGCCCCCGTCCTCTGTGAGCACGGCAGCCCTGAACGCATCAGGATCTGCCGTCTTTTTCAGATGCTGGCTGCCCAGAGGGAGCCACCCAAGTGAAATGGCCGTTCTCTACCCTGTACCTCACAGTTTTCAGATCGCCCTCCTGCTCAGTCTGACTTGACCTTGGCAGTGACCCTCGTTGGTAGAGATTCATGTCTTGTTCCCTTTAAAAAAAAAGGAGCTGGGGTTCAGGGTGATTAAGGGCATGGCCCAGCTCACGGCAGAGCTGGGGCATTATTTCAGGTTTGCTGCTCCCTGAAGCTGAATTCTTCCTCTCATGCCACACTTCTCCTCAAGAAGTGCGCCTCCTGGGAGTGACCAGGTGCACTTGCGCCTGCCCTTGACCCCGCCCGTGTGCACAAGGGCCACTTAGCTTTGTGGACAGAGGACAAAGATTCAAGCTGTGGTGCCCAGGAAAGACCTGGATGGGGGCGGGACGAAGTCGGCACACACCCATCCCTGCTCCAGGAAAAGGAAGTAAAGGATTGGGTCAGACGAGTGACTCTTCTTCCAGGAAGCATGTAGCATCCCCAAGTCGCAGCTCTCTGCTGCACTTCTGGAAGAGGCTCAGGATGTGGGTCTGGGCCTCCCCTCCCATGCCCGGGCGGGGGTCACCCCACAGGATAGCCACAGCTGCTTAGGAGCTCTTCTTGAAGGCCTGTTTGTGGGGAGTACGAGGGAGAAGAGGTGAGTGGGAGAATTACTGCCTTCACTTTGGGACGACTTTTATGCCCATGACTTGGGATTTCTCCGTAGTCTGCATTCTCGGAAACCCCATACTCATGTCACGGGATTTAGCCTCTCGTCCTTTGAGGAAATGAATTCTATTGTGTAAGAGTCAACCCACGCCCAGCGCTGAGTGGAAGCTGTTTCTGGACAGCTTTTTGCCCCTGGGAAGTGATGAAATAGGAACTCAGGGTGCCCTCACTCCCTCCGCTGACCTAGTCCCTTTCCTTGACTAGCAGGATGCCCAAATTAGAGCACCAAGCGATTCTTCTCTGTTGTAAAGGAGTACACATACCACAGGCTGGTCTATTCCCCTCTGATTATCTGGGGAGCAGAACTCACCATCTACCAAACAGGACCTCTGAAGTCCCTTTAGCCCTGACACTGGAGGGTTCTTGGAGTCCCCGCTTGTAACTGAACACCACCTGGAAATCAGAGGGGATGTAATTACACGATGACCGGCAGGTGGCGCTGTGTTCCACCGGGGGGAGGGGGTGACGGATGATTTCGGAAATGAATGTTGGTGCCTTTTGTGTCACAAGTTAATGTTAAGATGCTAATGTTTTAATCAAAATAAGCACTCTCATAATAAAGATATAAGCTTTACTCACAGGAAATTTCTGCCATAAAGCCGGTGCCAAGTACCACTAAAGAGGCAACAAGGATGGTCTTTCCAAGTCAAGATTTTATCCTGATTGGAAACCAAGGCCATCTCCGGTTGCGAGAATGGATTGGTTGGAAGTGTAACTTACCTCCTGTCAGCTTTTAGGGTAATTTGATTGTGAAAGTGTGAATTTTCTGGACAGAAAAGGGGAATGTATTAGATTTTTTTTTAAAAAAAAGAGGTTTAATGTCTGTTATATCACAAATCAGTGTTAAAATACTAATTCTGTAACCAAAATAAATGTCCTATATTACCAAGAAATGGTCTTTCTTTCTTTTTTTTTTGTTTTTATCACCCTTGATTGCTTTTATGCTTGCTTTTTCTTTTTAAAACAATCACCTAAAAGTTAGCCCTCCTGAGCCAGCGATAGGCTCCATGATTATATTTATACAGTACATATCTGTTGAACATCCCTCCAGTACTAGGAATTTCCTGTGTTAAGAAATCTATTATTATTTTTTAATCCTTCCCTGAGGATATACTTAGAGAAGAAGGGGGGAGAAAGAGAGAGGAGAGGAGAGAGAGACATCAATTGGCCACCTCCCCTTTGCACCCTCACCAGGACTGAACCGACAACCTAGACATGTGCTCTGACTGGGAATCAAACCCGCAAACTTTCGGTGCACAGGACAGTGCTCTAAACAACCAAGCCATGTGGCCAGGGCTTATTTATTTATTTATTTTAAAAGGTTTCGGCTTTACTGAGATACCATTGACTGGAATATTCTTTTTTTAAGATTTTATTTATTTATTTTTAGAGAGGGAAGGTAGGGAGAAAGAGAGAGAGAGAAACATCAATGTGCGGTTGCTGGGGGCCGTGGCCTGCAACCCAGGCATGTGCCCTGACTGGGAATCAAACCTGCGATGCTTTGGTTCACAGCCTGCGCTCAATCCACTGAGCTACGCCAGCCAGGGCACAGAGTTGGTCTTTATCTTGCCTGTGTGGTGGGTACTGGACCCTGCTCATGTGACACAATTTCATAGCACCAAAGACATGTGCAGATAACACTGGGGAAATCGGAGTAAGATTGGTGGGCTGTGTCAATGCCAGTGTCTTGGTTTTGATATTGCACTCTGCTTTTGCACGACATTACCATGGAGAGAAATGGGGCACATGGAATTGTCTCTGTATGATGCCTTACAAGTGCATGTAAATTTACAATAATCTCAAAATAAAAAGGTTTAACTAAAAAAGTTTCTTTGTACAGAATGTTCAATAGCATGGCAATAGCATGTCCGATGTCCCCCTACTCAGGATGGGGGACATCGGACATAACCTAAGTACCCACAGCAGAGTCAGACCCAGCGCTGGGGGGGCTGACCCCAGGAGCTGACCTCGTCAGCTCTGAGCGACGACAAGTGTGGGGACCGGGTGAGCAAAGCTGCATTTACGTTACGTGAAACAGCAGTTGGCTTCATAGCACATTGCCTCTGAGCCGTTCTGCGGAAAGCGTGGCTAGACATTGACAGAGAATATTTCAAAAGTTTGGAGAGAATCTAGAGATTCAAGCCTACTGGATTCTCCCATCTCTCTCTTTTAAAATAGTACTTTTGTTTCAAATAAAATAAATAAAATCCTGACCTTCGCTAGCCTCTAGGAGCTGGCTTCCCCTTGCATCTCCGGCAGGTGGCGGAAGTGTTCCAAGGATGGTCTGCACATCTCCGGTTCAGCGGCTGGGCCTGCGGCTTCCAACAGCAGGTGGGGCTCCAGCATCAGTCCCATCAACTCAAGGACCACAGGCATCTGAACGGCCCTCTCCGAAGTCCCGGGCAAGAAGGTAAGCTGTCCGGCCACAACAGGGTTAACGGTCCACATTCCAGAGCAAGGGAAGAAGAGGCTAGAGGGTCACAGACAGGGGGAGGGGGGGGCGTGAAGGACCAGCTTCTCACAACACACAGGCTCTGCTGGGAGAGATAGATCACCCCCAACAATGGCCACAGCTGTTTTCGTCTGCCCCGAAGGAAGGAAAGACGAAGGAAGCAGGCATCAGAGAGGGCCCTTCCTGCAGGGGCTTCTGTCTGGCTTGTAAAACTGTCAGAGCAGCTGCATTCATGTGTGGAGTGATGGATGATGGAAAGAAGGAGGGACAGACGGCCGCAGATGGACACAGCGACTTACAAGTCGAGGCAGGTGGCAGGAGCCTCGCAGAGGCTCTGCAGGTGGGGCCTGCTGATTCATTGCCCAGTGAAAATACCAAGGGGGCCCGGGCCACAGCCCTCTTCCCAGTCTTCTTCGGGGCCAGGAGCGGCCGCTGCCTCCGCCATCCACCTGCAATGAAAGCTTCCGCTGGCCCTCCTTCCTTTTCCTGCACCTCAGGTGTGAACCTTCCTGCCCCACGCCTCCGCCCCTCCCGGGCCCCTCCTCCCGCTCCGGGGCTGAGCTAGCAATTCCTTTGGGTCTCTTTGTGGCTGGCAGGGCCGGGGATGGCTTCATGGAATGCACCCCGTGGTATGCAGCAATAAGACTTTCCATCTAGGACTCGAAGGTGGTGTTTAAAAATGTATGGGCTGGGAGACCAGGAAAAAAAAAAGTCAGCACTAAAAATGTTGGCCTTGGCATTTGTAAGAAAAGGGACTTTGTGCTTTCCACTGGTACCCGCAGCCTGACTAGGGAAATGACTGCCTTTAGGACCCCAGCCTGCAAGCCACACACTGAGTGTCCTGCCCCAAAAGTACGTGCCGCAGGATGTCTGAGGAGCGTGAGCTGAGGTTTCCTCCTTGAGTTCCATCACCACAGCCTGTTGACTTGCTCATCCGGTCCTGGTAGCCAGAATCCCCGCCCCCTTGCCCAAGTGGGTGGCCCTCGGCTTTCTCTCCCGCCGTCCAGAGATGCCAAGAGAGGCTTCCTTGGCCAGGATAATCAAGGCTGAGCCTTGTGGAATCAGGACCCATGAGATTTCTTAAAAAGCATCCTTCTCCCTCTGTCTGGGTCTGTGGGGGCCCAACTGACACCCGTAGGGCCATTCGTTGGGGGGACAGATCAACCTGGCCGGAGGCACGGCATCGGCTGGGCTCCACCCTATGCAGGACTCAGAGCTGCAGCTTGCTTTGTTCAGCTGGTCTAAAGTTTGCCTTGTGGAAGCCCGAGGGGCCCAGGGAGGTAGAGATTAAGATCTGGGGCTCGTGTTGATATCTGGAAACCACAGCCGCCCGCACAGGGGAAGTGCTGGACAGCAGGCATGCCTCACACGCCGCCCCCCCTCCCTCTCTGGGTCACCTGGGAGCACCGGCAGCAATGTGGGAGTTTGCTGTGCTGGAGGAAAGGCCACGACGTCTTTGGAGAGGGCTTACTCCGAGCACACCCTGTTCCCTCCCCCTGGGCTGAGGGAAGCATGGGACCAGCCCTGCCCCAGCCTGTCATTGGCTGGCACGAGGCAGAGGGGGCTTTAAAAAGGCAAACGAGTCCGGGCTGGGGACTGGAGCCCGTGCTACCGGAAGGCCAGGTGCCCTCCTCCAGCTGGCACCATGCAGCTCTCTCTCGGCCCGTGTCTCGCCTGCCTGCTGCTGCACGCGACCCTCCGCACGGTGGAGCCCCAGGGGTGGCAGGCCTTCAAGAACGACGCCACGGAGATCATCCCCGAGCTGGGCGAGTTCCCCGAGCCCCCGCCAGAGCCGGAGAACAACAAGACCATGAACCGGGCGGAGAACGGTGGGAGGCCTCCCCACCACCCCTTTGAGACCAAAGGTATGGGGTGTAAGGGAGTACTTTTAGGGTGAGGGTCCTCCGGTGGGGGGGTCCCTTTGGGACATGTTGGAGATCGGGGTAGACCCTCAGGCACTGCCGGCGGAAGGTGGAGAGACCGTCTTGCCTTGGGGGCAGGAGAAGGACGGCATGCCGGTGTGGTCCTGGCATCTGGGAGAAGAGACTGGAGGCTGGCAGGGCGCTGGCAGAGAGCCGGCGAGGGGGGCAGGGCGGAGCGGGTGGGGCGCAGCACTGGCACAGGCTCAGGGGCGGGGAAAGGGGGAGGTTTCGAGGAATCCCCTCCTGAGAGTCCAAGAGCCAGTTCCAGCCGCCAGCAGCACCGGGGCAGGGCAGCCTCCCGTTGGGAGTACCTGCCGGGCGCCGGGTGCTCCCCGTGGGCTGTGCGTGTCCTGTGCCCTGAGGACCCACCATGTGGGGGCCCCGTGAGGTGAACTCCAGGTTCGAAGCTGAAGAAATGGAGGCTCCAGAAGTTAAGGCATCTATCTGGTAGTGAATAGAAGAACTGAGATCAGAGCCCAGTTGGATCCAATTCCAGGACAGCCCTGCTGGGGGGTTGCGAGTGGGGTTTTGGGGACCGACAGCCAGAGCAAATCCTCCAAAGGCAGGAGGAAAAGGGATGGCAGAGAAGCACCCCATCAGCTCCCCTCACCCGTGGCCTGTCCGGCGAGCTGGCCCTTGAATGGGAGTGTAGGCGCAGCGTCAGCCTCCGCCGCGGGCGGCAGCTGGGCCCAGGCCCTGGAGAGGAGGCAGCATCCTGTGTGCAGGGGTGTCTACTGAATCTGGCGTCCGTCCTGGGTCCCCACCTCAGACCGAGCCGAGCCTCGTTCCTGGGGAGGGAGCCCAGCCCCAGAGAAGGGTCAGTGGCCCAGCGGAGGGCACACCTGGGCCCCGGTCAGGTCTGCACAGAGAAGCCCGGGGGCAGTGTGCACAGCTGGCTCTGCAGCTGGCAGGAACGGCTGGGGGCAGGGGCTGGGACGACACTTCAGAGTGTGGGCCTCCTTGCCCTCTGGCCATTGTCCAGGTGGGAGAGGAGCCCACTGCCCAGGCTCCTGCATCCCATCCTCCCCTGCCTCACGAGCAGCTGGGAACGTGGGTCTCTGCAAAGGGCAACTCCAGAGGAAGCTGGGAGGAGGGATTCTGGGGGTCAGGTGTGCCCTGCTCCCACTACCACCCGGGAAAAGTCAACTAAGCTCAAAGGATGGGACTCAGGTATGAGGTGTCTGCTTCCCTGGGCCCCCACGGGAGGCCGCAAGCCCCGAGGAAGCCACTTGCTCAAAACAGAGTCACCCTGTGCAGAGGAAGTGCCTGACCTTGGGGCACTATTCTTGGAAAGCCCCAAAGCCTCCTTCCCTGGGCAAATAAGCCGCCCCTACACACCACCCCTGCGGCCCAGGAGCAGGAGCAAGGATGCCAAACCAGCCCAGAAACCAGAAGGCCAGCCACGGGGGGTGTGTGTGGGGGGCAAACCCCACCTCCCCTGCTGGGTTTGCCCTCCAGTGCCGGGGCAGCCACCTGGCCTCCTCTGCCCTCTCTCTGGCTTTGGTCTCGGGACTGTTTTTCATCCCTTCATGTCATATAGGAATGGCCCCCGTGAGACCCTTGGGTGTGGACAGGTGCTCTCATGAGGACCAGCTGTTTAAAAAGCTCCCACCCATTGAACCCCACCCTAGAAGACACCATCCAGGTGACTTCAGGGGACGGAGCCAAGCCCCAGAGCCCAATCTCCCCCCACCCACGAAGCAAGCCTGTGCCACCATTGGACGCCCATGCAAACGGCACGAAGCAGAGCTGTGGCCAGCAGGGTGCCTGGCACATGGCACGTCCTTACTGAGTGTCTGTGGTCGCTGACCCTGTGGGTCTTCAGTCTGGTCCCGGTCCCCCTCTGGTAGGGAAGTGTTATAGTGAAAAACAGCCCTTCCTCCCCCACCCCCAGGCTCCCAGCCCAGCTTGGGCACGCAGCTTCCACCCACGGCGGGGAGCCGAGTGGTGCTGGGACCCTGGGGGAGCAGAGTCGGGGGTCCAGCTCTTCTTCTCAGGCACATGCTTTTCCCTCTCCGGGCCTCAGTTGCCCTCAGTGATAACGAGGGGGCTGGGCACGCCGCCTTTGCTCCCTTTCAAGCCTAACGACTTCTCCTCCTCTCTACCTCCCCTTCCAGCTCTCTCCTCCCAAGCAGCTGCCCTGATTTATTGCCTTCAATTAACCCCCTCCTCCTTTCACCGCCCCTCCCAAGTGGCTGGAAAAGGAATTTGGGATCAGCCAGAGCCATGAGACTTGGGTGGCTAGTAGCATCAGCCTTGCCATGGCCAGCGACTCTGTGGCACAGGTGTGACTTAAGTTTGGCCCAGGGGTCCCCCTTGGAAGGGAATACAAATAGCAAAGAACCACGGCCAAGACGTCCAGATCGCACTGTGTGCTCGGTGGTGTTCCCTGCACTCGGAGGACAATCCATCCTACAGATGGGAAGCACAGAGAAGTTAAGTAGCTTGCCCAGGATCACACAGTGATGCAGCTGGTATCTGAACCGCAGCAAAACAAACAACACACACACACACTTTGGTTCCAAAATTTTAGGGCGAGATCTTTCCACCAGCTGGCCCCTTCCCACAATAGATGCCCATGGGCATAAAGGCAAAGCCTCTGGAGAGAGGCAGGCTTGGGAAGGGCGGGGTGGTGTGGAGGGAGGGGGCCGGGCCGGGGCCGAGAGGGGTGGTTGGGCCGGGCTGCGGCCCTCACGCGCCGCCTCTCTCGGCAGACGCGTCGGAATACAGCTGCCGCGAGCTGCACTTCACCCGCTACGTGACCGACGGGCCCTGCCGCAGCGCCAAGCCGATCACCGAGCTGGTGTGCTCCGGCCAGTGCGGCCCTGCGCACCTGCTGCCCAACGCTATCGGCCGGGGCAAGTGGTGGCGCCCGAACGGGCCCGACTTCCGCTGCATCCCCGACCGCTACCGCGCGCAGCGGGTGCAGCTGCTGTGTCCCGGTGGCGCGGCGCCGCGCGCGCGCAAGGTGCGCCTGGTGGCCTCGTGCAAGTGCAAGCGCCTCACCCGCTACCACAACCAGTCGGAGCTCAAGGACTTCGGGCCCGAGGCCGCGCGGCCGCAGAAGGGCCGAAAGCCGCGGCCCCGTGCCCGGGGCGCCAAAGCCAACCAGGCCGAGCTGGAGAACGCCTACTAGAGCCACCTGCCCACCGCGCCTCCCCAGCGGGCGCCCCTGAACCGGGCGCCCCAGGTTTCTGCCCTCTGCGCGCGGTTTGATTGTTTGTATTTCATTTTAAATGCCTGCAACCTAGGGCAGGGGGCTCCGACCTGCCTGGCTTCGCAGGAGGTAGCCAGGTCCTGCGGATCCCGGGCGCCGGCAAAGCCCCACAGTCCCCACCCGCCGTCAAGGGTTCCCGCAGGGCGGGGGAGGGAGCAGAGTCACAGACACTGAGCCACGCAGCCCCGCCCACTGGGGCGCCTATTTTCGCAGGTCCCACTTCAGAGCAGCGAGAAAAGGAAGCCTTTTACCGCCCCCGGGGGTCTGAGGGAGCTGTGGGGAGTGAGAAGTCTTGGGAACTGGTTATGAAAGTTAGGTGACATCCCTGTCCCCCTCTCTGTCCGTCATAAATCACAGAATCACAGTGCCGTGCTGTGCCCAGAGCACAGGACTTGGGTCCGTAGATAGGGTTTCTAGTCCCAGCTCTTCCACTAACTCGCTGAGTGACCTTGGACTATACACACGCTTCTCTTTCTGGACCTTGACTTTCTGTTTGTAAAGTGCGGGTGGGGGTGGGATTAGAATCGGAAGGGATCTCCTGTCCTGTGATGCTGAGGGCTTGGGTGCCTGTTGAAAGGGCGGGGAGAGAGCGTTGGATTGAATCACTGCCAGGGTACGAGTCCAGAATTCGGACTCATACACCTCTGATCTGACAGCCAAAGGTGAATGAAAACCACGCAGGGGCAAAGAAGAGTCCATCTGTGGCTGACACACACCTGAGAGGGGCGGAGGTGTTTCCCAGCCTGGCCTCCTCAGGTGTTCGGCTACCTCCGCCCCTCCCTCTCAGAGGATGCAGACACACCATCAGCTGGGGTAGATAAGGAGAAGGTCCCAAGGGTGGTGGGAAGGACAGAAACCATGCCCCCCGCCATTCCCAAAAAACAGCACCCTCCTCCCCCTATGGCCGTCTGTGAAAGCCACCTTTTGCAGAAAATCTCAAGGTCCCAGGACCCTGGGCTTGCAGGCGCAAGGGAGCAGCCACCCCCCACTCCAAGGCCAGCAGATTCCTCCAGGGTACCCTCCTCCTGCCCACCCCTCCCAGGCACACTTCTGTGTCGAAAATTGCTTTTTGATGCTGTTACACGTGATGGCGTACCTTACATTCAAATAATATCACTGGGGAGCAATTATACGTGCTGTACATACGCTGGGAAGCCGCAAAGCCTGAGAACTGCCATCCAAAAACCTTTTTGAACATCATTTCCAGTCACCTCTCCCTTTCTGGGTAGTTTCTAATTGTTAAAAAAAAGATTTAAAAGAGAGAAAAAAAAACAAAAAAGAAGCGCGCACACCATGTGAAAGCTTGCTGGGCTGGTCGACTTTTGCAATCTTTCATGTGGAATTCGTCCCACGGGAAAGATGGAAAGTTGTGGGTTTTTTTTAAAGAGTTAAGTTACATATTTATTTTCTCACTTAAGTTATTTATGCCAAAGTTTTTCTTGTAGAGAATGACAACAGTAATATTGCTTTATGAAGTACTGGTCTGTTCTTTCAGAATCCAGAGGCATTGTTAATAAAGACAGTGAGTCGTTACGGAGAGGCTGTGGTCTCGATTTGTTAACCACACACAGTCACGTCTGTCAAAGTTACCATGGTCACTGTGACACCTTGGTCTGCACTATGGTGGCCCTTGGGGCAATTACGTCCTTCCTTTGAAGAGTCGTGTTCGTCCCTCCCTTTGCAAACTGAGACCTCCTCCTTTCACTCTGGTCATCGGAATAAGCTCAGCCGAGTCTCCCTCGAGCAGCCTGCCCTTCACGCTGTTCCAAAAACACTGTTCTTATCGTGAGTCACAGCCCTGCTCGAGGTCCCTTAGCAGCTCCTCCTTGCCCGGGATCGAGTTCAGGCTGCTAAGTTTGACATGTAAGGCGGAATTCCACCTGCCTGATTCCCATCCCCCGCTCCATCAACCTTCCTTAACGGCTCCTAGTGGCCACGGGCGTTTCTGACGGCCGCTGCCTCCTTGGTTTGCCACCCACCACCCCCAACAGCGCCTGCTCTTCCTTCGGGGTCCCCGTTCCTTGTCATCTCTTCCCTGAACCTTCCAGAGATATTCCAGTCCCCACTGACCCCTCTCTCCTCAGACGTCCGGCCCCCTTTGTCCACACCCGTCCTTTCGCTCCTGAGTTTGTCTTTCACTTGACCTTCATTCAAGGACCACCTGTGTTATCTGGCCACGCCCTGCTTGGTACTGGGATAGACACAAGGCCACGTCCATTCAGGGCCAGCTCACGGGGGCTCGGCCAAGCTCTTCACCAAATGCAAGCTGTATGCCTCTCTAGTGAAAGTGCCGGATGCTAGTTAGACTCAAGAAATACTCTTCAGTTGCCATAAGCAGGGATGATCGATTGTAAAGTTTTAAATCAAGTGCAGCCCATCTTGGGGTAACCCACCCCAAGAGCCTTCCTCACCCCCCTAAAGTAAGCTGAGGTCGTCCCTGGTGACTTCAACGCCGGAGGAAGCCTCCTAAATCCGTTAGCAGCACCACCAAGCCTGCGCTGTGCGTCAGCGTGTTTCCGCCTCCAGGCCGCAGGGGGCCTGGGTGAGACCCTGCAGGGAAGCCGTGTGCGCGCTGCGAGGTGTTGGGTGCAAGGCAAGAGCGCGCCGGAGCCCAGCACCCCTGTGGGCGATGGGGACGTTTTCCAGCTCCCAGAGGAAAGGTGCTTCTGTGGGTGAAACACGAGCTCTGGAGCCGGGTTAGAGTTTGAATCCGAGGAAATGGAGGCACCAAGGGGTTAAATGTTTTGCCCACAGCTGGCTGTGAGCTCAGTTCCCTGCCCCCAGGACACTCACTCACGCGAGCTGCCCAGGGCCTGGTGGGCACGTGGGCACACGACTGGGTCACCTTGCTCCGTACAAAGTGTTCTGAAACCAAAGACAGGAGTGATTGGCTCTGCGGTGGGGACAAGGGATAAAGGGCAGGGAAAAAGCCTCACAGAGGTGGTGCAGCTTGGAGGTGCACAGGTGGGGCGAGGCTCTCGCACAGGCTGAGGGGTGGGGAGGGGGGCAGCGAGGAGGTACGGCTGGTCACGTGGGCCAGACACAGTCTGCCTCTGCTCAGCGCACGCGCAGCCCTCGCCCTGCGCGAGGGAGTGCGGGGCACCGGGAACCCCAAGTGATGCCCCACACCAGACACCCCTAAAGTCTGCTTTCGGGGACCGGAGATCCAGGAGGGACCAGGCCAGGCTACAATCCCATTACCACGAGGGGAAAAAAACCCCAAAGGCTAAATTGTAGGTCGGACTAGGGGTTATTTTTGGAAAGTTATATTCTACCTCCATGGGGTCTGTGAGCCTGGCGCCGCTCAGAAACGGAAAGGGCAATGGGCTCCGCTGAGAGGGGTGGGGCTCTGCTGTGGGTAGCGCAGGTTCTGGGGGTGCAGCCCGACGTGGGGCTGTGTTAATGGTCCGAGAGTCAGACAGAGGGACGGAGGGAAACAGGTCTCTCTCTCTCTTACACACACACACACACACTCACATACACTCTTGTCCCTGGGGCTCTACCTACATTCCAAGCACAACTCAGGCCACCTTTGCACAAGCGGGCAGAGCAAAAGAAACCGGAGGAAGCCACAGGAATCTGTTTCCTCGAAGAAGGCGGGACTTGGGCAGCTGGGGAGGGCCAGAGAGCTTGCAAAGCCACCTGTGTGTCAGCCGAGTTCGCTGTCACAGCAACAGGAAGCTGGTGCCAATCCCACACCTGTCTGCCTCCCACAAGCCCCCCACCACACAGGCCTGCCCTAGCTCCCATCTTTGGTCCCAGCTCTGGGGCCCGCACGGTCCTTTCTGCCCCACCTGCCTCGATCCTGGGGTGCAGCCTCTGTCTTCTCCCTTGTCTCCGGGAGGGCGCAGGCTCAGTTCCCTGGCAGCCCTGGCCAACAGCTGGCGTTCCTGTTGTGGCTGGGGGGAGGGGAGGGCAGAAGGCAGGGGGATTGTCGCTCTGAAATGAGTGTGACCATGCACTGGGTTCGCCTAGGCATTGATGCCTATTGGCCCAGCATAATTATTAACAGCCCCTGCTTTTACTCTTAGAAATGTCCCAGTTTGGGCAATAAATTATATACGGTCCTTCACTAGTAAGAGATGCAAGTCTCTCGGGGATGACTGGGGCCCAACTGAGCATTTCCAGTGCCAGTCCTTCTGTCTGGGTCGCTTCCTGCGGGCCCAATCAAGTCCATCCTTCCGCTCTCGGATGGATGTCGCTCTTCCTGATCAGTGGGGCCCGTCCAAACCCCTGCGCCTTCACTCCCATGAGCAAAGCTCCCTTCCTTCAGAGAACTTTTCTCGGGAGTTATGCAATCATAGATTTGTTCATGTAAGTATCTGATTGATCTTTCCTTCCTCCTAGATGATAAGACCCAGCAAAGCAGGGACTCTGGTCTGTTGCTGCCCACGGGACACTCCAGGTACCCGGCGCACAGCAGGTGCCTCCCATGCACCGAGGTTGTATAGTTGTTGCTTAACCTATTTGGGGTCTCTTCGCTCGTGGGAGGAGTGGATGGAATGGATGGGGATGTCTGGGCGACGGTGGGAGGAGGGAAGGGAGGAGCTGACACCTGTGCAAAGAAGCTGTTTGCCTGAATCAGTTTCTACCGCGTCTGTGAGGATAAGACACAGCTCCTACCCTCTGGCAGTTTATAATCTTGCTGGGGAGTCAAGTGGAAAATGAGCGCATGAGATGCCCCTGGGGAGCAGATACGATCTTTTGTCACCAGCGTGTTGGAGGCCCGAAGGGGTGGGTGGCTTCAGAGGAGCAAGGCAGGGGCGAGGTCCTGCGGAGCAGTCGGGATGCAGAGTGGCAGGGAGAAGAGGCAGTGAAGGGAAAGGCTCGGGGGTGGGGCAATGCCAGCCTGGGACCTGGCGTGCAGCGAGCGCTCCCCAGCCGAGTTTCTTACCCAGGGAAGCAGCAGAAGTCAGGAA